TAGAACATGTGTAGTACATTGCTCTATATTCTCACCGTCCAGGCACGGAGCAACAAACACAGATGACAGTAGACCGTAACGGCCTACAGGACATGTTAACAAAGCATGTTCTGAACGAGGCAAACAAAACTGAAAGAGCGGGTCTCGCGAGGAATTGCGCCCCTGTTCACCCATGAATATTGTAAATAATAATAATATTGCCGATGTAGCTGGGGCGTATTATGTATCTTTTAGTATATAACAGATGGAAAAAAAGTCCCTGGACACAATGGCAGGGAGTAGACCGAAAAAACAAAAAACCTTAGTGGTTACGTGTTGAACCCCAAGGTAAGAAAATAAGCTGGAGATACAAAAACATGAATTATATAACTATAATTATAATAGTTCTAATAGCGTACGCCATCGTACGACGTACATAGGCTAGAAATTACGACATTTTCATTTTGCTATGAAAGTGATCAAAAACATAGATCAGTTTCTCAGTAAATTTCAGTTCCACTAATGAAATGTGAACCACGCGAATCACATATTTTACTAACGCATTGACCATGGAGAGTGTTCAGAGGAGTTGAGACTAATACCTGCAGCTGAGTTTAATTATAGAACGTCACGGCAGAATACAAAATACCATCCGTATCACCTCGACGTCCGTCGTCCCACAACTGAGCGTTTCTTAAGGCAGTTTGCCGCGCACCACCACTATGTGGAATCCGCTGTCTACTGAAGTATTTCCGAACCAATTCGACCTAAGGTCCCTCAAGAAAATAGCGTACCAATTCTTAAAAGGCCGGCAACGCACTTGCGAGGCTTCTAGCAATGTGACCGGTATCACTTAACATCTCTCTTGTACATAATCGTTACGAGAACTAAATAAGGGCGAAGGATTACTTTTGAGAAATATTTGAAATTGGAACAGGTGACTCGTTTAAGTTTTCTCAAACAAAAATGAGTTGTGTTGAAATAGATGATTATTGTAATTAAAGCCGGAATGACAAGACAAATTTAATCAAGAGTTTGGATATTGTTCTTAGACTGGAAAGCAGTGTCAGATGTCAACAGATCTAGTGAGTATAACGCGAACTTTATAACGACCTTTGTTAATTGACGCATTGTTCTCTTAACAAGTTAGAAGGTATTTCCTGTATATACGTATATTTTACTAAATCAGATTATATATTATACGACAATAAAGCTTTTATGTCGTTTAAAATATATGTTCTACTTTCAAAGACACCCTTTTCTTTTTAATACTATCATGCTTTTAGTCTGTTATTTATAGGAAAATGCTTATTAAGCTATTGCATAACTTTTATCGCGGGCTTTGAGCGCGGCGACCGAATCAAGAAATTCCGTAACGAAAAAAACCTAACACACGATGACGTAATATAGGTGCGGCCAATACGCGTTAGAGCGGAACAGAACGCATACTGCGTATTAGTGGTAGATAGAATTAATATCAAAGAAAAAAAAAATACTGCATAAATAAAAAATAAACAAATAATTATAATTACATAAGTTGATAAAAAATGCTATGAAATAGCTTTACCGTGGCAGTCCCCGAGTGCCACACGTTGTTTTCATTTATTTATTTCGTAATCCAGCTAACAAAATATATATATAAAAACAAACAATTACACTAAAATATAGCCAAAAATGGAAAACATAATATTTACAAAAAGGCTCAAACATTTACAAAAGGGAAAAAATAATAAAAGTTATTCAATACATTTACCTAATTTGGCTGTGTTGTGTGATGGTGTAAAAGTGAGGGTAAGTACGTGAAGGTGGGTATGTAGGGTATGCTCATAATGCAGGTGATTTTGCGCCATGGATATTCTTAATACTCCTTTTAACCATATTCCGCGATAGCTTAAACAAGTCAAGGCTTAAATATTGGTCGTTGTATGTCCGGGCTGCGCGATACAAAACTGTGTTTTTGCGTAGTTAGTGTTGATGTGAGGTAAATGAAACAAAGCACACATACACGGCAAGCGTATAAAAAATTGCTAGAAGCAACTCATTCGCGTCAGATCGGTCTCCAATTATGACAGCAAAATTTTATCGATATTTTTTGATGATGCAGTATGAAGTACAGACATAATTTTTTTAGAATTCATATTCAGTGAAACTTTATCTTTATTTTTTTACATCGTGTCAGAATAACGTCATCGGGTACGCACTACTAGGCTGACATTTTATGCTACTTATAAAAATCAAGCTAAGCAGAGAACGTCTCTTCCATTCCTGTAAGAGAGGGTTACGAAAACATCCCGTTGTTAGAATCAACGTTGATAATGACGTATTAAGATGCCTGAACAAGCAAGTTGATTGACGTCACGGTCCGCTGCCAATATTGGCGTATTATTGTTTAACTTGGAACTTAGTTGGGCTATGCGTTATAGTTTAAGATTATGATAACAAGCTCACTTCGGGGTTTAATAAGAGCTTTGATATATAAATCTGTCAAAATCAAAATCATTTATTCATATAGGTAACACAATGTACACTTATGAACGTCAAAAAAAGAAATGCTTCTAATTTTACATTTACTGCCAGTTCTCAAATCAAGGGCGTAGAACGAAAGAGAAGAACTGGCAATAAACTCTCCACCACTCTTTTTAATCGCCAAGTTTTTTGTTTTACACAACGTTTGTAAGGAGCTGCAACCGATACACCATGTTCCACATGACATCTTAAGTAATAAATAATAATAAAATAAATTAAAAACAAAGGTTTGTCCTCTATCAGAAGGAGGCATGGTGAAATAGGAGCAAGCACTTACATTCTCGTGGGAACAACACGCAATGTATGTTATAACTTCATATTTTTTGAATATTGTGTCGTTTTTAAATATTATGTATATCGTGTTGAGTCGAAGACAGCGCCGTGTGTTCATCTCTGGTGACTTGTCCTCATCCTACCAAATTGCCGAACCTTTGATATACATACAAGTTACTGTTGTACAAGAGTTATTGTGTGGTCTCTGGCAGAATGACCAGCGCTGTGGAACATTCTGCTCCTCAGCATAATGCTGAGCCAGGGCTAATTACAGCCACAGTACACACGCATTACATTCTTGAGGCGAACCGAATGGGAAAAGGAAAAAAAATTATATATCTCTCATAATATCTTTTTATTTAAAGAAAAAACTTTTTAACCGGATTAAAGTTATGTATTATTATAAATTTACAACAATCCGCGAAGATAGAGGACACCGTGAGCCATTTTTGCCAAAACCCTCCATCTTTTAGTCGATACCAACTCCGGGGAAATAAATACAGATAATGCAACTTTCTCTACAGCTGTGATACTTTTTGACATCCAACACCTTTTGTCTTCAGTCACCGTGACCACGCACGCTGTAAAGCACGCGAAACGTCGGATAAATTTAAAATCATGTTAAATAATTGTAAATTTATAATAATACATAACTTTAATCCGGTTAAAAAGTTTTTTCTTTAAATGTGTAAAGGTTATGTCAATCAAAGACAATACTATCTTTTTATTTATTTTTTTCTCTTTGATTATTGTTATTTTGTGTGTTTATGTGTGTGTGTTTTTGTTTGTAATAAATGATATGTCTATGTCTATGTTATACAAGAGACTACCAGTCTTGGGATCCCTAGAGCGACCCCTACACTTGTGCGATCTAATATATTTTAGCCTAATTTACGAAAATTTATTTAATAGCGCGGCATTCATTACTTAGTTTTACAATAAAAGGGACTTCATCTCAATTGAGGAACAGTTTTCATGTATTATGACCTAAATTAAAGTGAATATTTTCAATCAAACTAAGTGTAGGATTACACAGAGCCGGGTGAGCAAACAGGATCTATCACGGGGACATGACTGAGTGCAAATATTTCAGAGATTTGTACAGCTGCTCAGTAGAGTTACTTTCGAGTTCATACTTAGGAGATCTAGCGAATTCCTCACTTTGTCAAGTACTTTTCACGTTCAAAGTTCTTTTTCTTCTAACTAAATTGTTACATTTTCTCTTGAAACGATTTCAGGGAATGCTCGCGTTTCGAAACTCAAACCTAGCTTTTTATTTCTATATTTTTATAATTGAATTTATCGGCGAACATTTATACAACTTATACTTCTGATAACGTTGACCATTTAAAACTTCTTTAACGATTAAAAACGCGAATATAGTATTAATATTTACGTCAATTAATAGTTTTAGGGTCTGTTTCACACTGTATGGATAAAGTACCAAATAGCTATGTAACACAAGTTATTTGGAAGATAAATTATTGTGCTATTTGACACTTCATCGGATTCAAAAGTTATGATGGACTTTGCGTTACGAATAGAGCTATCTGACAGTCGTGAAACGCAACAATAGTGTTTATCCTACCAATAAGTAATAAATAGCTAATTTGGAACTTATCCGTACATTGTGAAACAGACCCTTAATATGGTAACATTTCAATAGGATAATTTTAAAATTAAATAACTTTAAAATTTATCAATAATGCAATGGATTTAGGAAGTTTTATTAATAGTTAAATAAAAGGTGGATAGAAGAAATAGAAGCGGTACCGGGAAACGAATGGAGAAAGAAAGCCATAGACAGAGTCAGTTGGAAAAAGCTGGTGAGGTGAGGCCCGTGAAGGGGTTCCGATCGACGTTACTAAAGGTGGCTAGGATATAGGATAACAAGTAATTAAAAAATGTAAAATAAAGTAAGCTGTATATAATAATATCATGATTGGAGATAAAACGGGCTTTATTATTATTAACTAGCTGTTCCCTGCCACGCTTCGCTGTGGCACGTTGGGATTGAATGGTTGAGAAATGAGAAACAAAATAAAGAAAACATTTCATATAAGTTTATTACTTGTGGAAAAAAAAAAAAAAATAAAAAAAACAAAAACAAAAAAAAGTATAAAAATTTGGTGAAGAACTTCTTTAGTTTTTGAAGCGTACACAAACCAACATAACATTTTTATATATATAGATAGTTGGACGGAATCAATATTCAGAGTTACTTACAAAATAGTTTCCTTCGGTTCATTGAATTGTGATTCTTCATCAATCAGTTGCAAGTTTAAGTTATCATTCTTTGTGTGAAACGTTTTATCTTCTAAGAGGATATTTTCCATCTCCATACTATCTTTTTTGCCATTCCCTTCTAATATCCTCTGTTTTATTGATGGTCCTCTATTAAAAGAAGAAGCTAGCAATGTCTCCTGAATGGTTTCATTACCGTTGCAGATTTTATCTGCCTTATGCGTGGGCATTCGTCCAGAGTGATAGCTATTCCTCACCCCACCCGTTGCTTCGAAGAAGGGCAACACTTGCTTGAACTCCTTTCTGAAATTATCATTCAACCATGCGTACAAAAATGGATTGTAGCATGTTGACGCCATCGCCATTGAGTGAGCGAGGAAGAAAGAGACATAGTAATAATTCCACTCGGTCATTTGAGCATAGAAGTCGTTGAAGATATTAATTAAATTTATAGGAAGCCACGATATACCAAATATCGCAACCATCGAGATCAACATTCTATTCGTTCGTCTCTTTCTATCCCTATCTGCCTCTTCTCTCCTTGTGTTCTTAGCACCAGGCTTGGACCGTGCACGGTCGTTCAATCGTATACTAACACATGTATAACATATAGCTATTACTAAAAATGGAATAAGAAACTGTAGCACAGTTGTGAACACTCCAAATATCTTTCTTGACCTATCCGATGGCCAACTCTCCTCGCAGTACGTTTTGTTGTTCGTTATTTGAATTCCCATGAACAAACCATACGGGCACGTGACAACTAACGAGAAAACCCATATGAATATGATGATGAAAATGCACGTATTAAGTTTCATACGCGGATGAAACGGATAGATAATTACAAAGAATCTATCTATAGCTATTGAGGTGAGGGTGAGTGTGGATATGTAAACGCTGGTCCCTTGGGCGTATGGCATTAGATGACATAACAATCTTCCGAACACCCACCGCCCGAGGAATGTATACATAGGCGTAAGAGGTACTGCGAATATACACAGTAGGATGTCTGATAACGCCAAGTTTGTTATGAAGAGATTAGTAACTGTTTGCATAGCTTTATTTCTGAACACCACGTAGCAAACGAGGACATTGCCGAAAACTCCGAGGACAAATATTATCGCGTAGAGAACACAGAATGCGACTTGTACTATCTTCACGTCTATGATATCTGTGGTTCTATTAGTTTTGGGTTCATCTAGAACTTCAATTGATTCACCGGTGAGGGTTTTCACAATGAGAAGTCCTCCAAGAAGACCTGTGCTGTTCAGAGTCATAGCTGCTTCATCGTTTTCTTGTCGTCATAAATAATTTCTCTATTGTCGTAGTAGTATTAGAAGTTTCTGATAGTGCTGCCAATCCATCTGAAAAGAAAGGAATAAATAATTAGTCATACATTATATGCGTTTTTCAATTTTAATTTCAAATGAGAGTTTTTAAGGCAGTTTTTGCCGCGATACTTGGAAACAGTAGCCCACTGAAGTATTTCCGAACCAATTCGACTTATGGTCAAGAAAAAAGCGTACCAATTTTTAAAAAGTCGGTAACGCACTCGCGGCATTGAGTGTCTATGGGCGGCGGTATTACTTAACAACAGGTGAGCCTTCTGCCCGTTAGCCCCATGTTATATATAAAAAAAAAATTATGTAACTCAAATCCTAGAACACAAAATGTTTTGCAAATCAAAAGCATACATTTTTTTAAAGTAGGTTATCAACTACGCGATTTTACACGGCCTTTAAAAACAGAGTGAAACAAAGGGCGCATAAACATTCTTAATTTATTACTGATACCTGATGAGCTAAGTTAACATTCTACCCACGTACAGAATTCTGATTTACAAAAGGTATATGCGTAACACATCCTTATGTCGATTGAAACAGGAACGAAAACTGTTTGAGGTATGGCACGGCAAATTGGCGGGATCACAGCGTGTGCTGTTGCCATGGCAACCTGTATGACCCCATCAACTCGAGGATACATTAACACATATAGTATATCGTAAAGCTGTGGAATAAATCGCACAATAGGAGTTATGTTATTGGATTGTGAACGTCATAGGTTTGAAGTTACATGGCCAGCGGAATTTATTGGAAATTTTGATCAAATACATTAAATGTTTGTGCGTTATCTACGTAGCTTAGTCACGCGATGGTTAATAAGTACTAATATTGCTGTGGAAATATGTCGAATTACATATTTGGCTCTCTGAAATAAATTAAGTAAAATTATGAGACCTTTTTATTTCAAAAAGTTATTTGTAGGTATTCATTTAAGTTGTTTTAACACCGTTCCCTAGAATTTTAAATGGCTCTTTCAGGCAGTATTGGCGTAGTCAGACGTTCAAAGCCCGAAATAATAAAGGTAAAAACATCGTAACAATATATCCTTCTTATACCCAACAAACCAAATAGGCACGTCACCTACTTGCCTTTAAGAAAGCCATTTTTGTACTGCTTTTCTGCTACGAAAATTGTGTGAGTCACGGAAAATGAGCGGGATCACAGCGCGTGCTGTTGCCATGGCAACCAAGGGTAGTAGTGAAAAATTATGAACAATTAAGCCGCATTATCGTTTAAACTTTAAAGTGATGGAGTAAATGGTGTAAGAATAAGTTAATTGAGCAAAACTCGCACGTGTTGTAAGAATTGCTTAATTGCTAGTATTTTCCAACAATTTTCTAAAAGTGTACGCCTCACCGAGCTTCACGCTTCTTAGATTTAATAGCGCGGGAATGAGTTGTATTAAAACGTTCATTTAATGGAAATATTGCAGCGCTGCGTGTGGCAGACACTTTTATAGTTCTTCCTATGTAATAACGTTAAATAAAATCTAATAATCCGGAGATTATATTTATTTGTTTTAACACATATTTATAGCATTAGTGTTGGCCTAGTGGATTAAGTGAGCGAGTCACCCTGAGGTCTTGTGTTCGAATCCTGCATAGCAATGGATCCTTTTTCTATACAAAATTCAAAATTGTTTTTATATAGTAACTAAAATTATACACGATGTGTAAAGGTAAATAAATACAAATTACTTGTGCCAACTCCTTTGTTACTTATATGGTAATAAATACGTGTGTGTAAATTATGTATGGCAGACTATGCGTTTGTGTTTGTGTGTGAATGTGTAACGTTATATAATAATAGCAATTAAATTCTCCACTTTTCCATCTGTGACTCAACTTGCAGAAGTTGGTATAAATGTTGACAAATAAATGATTGCGTTTCAAGATTTTTTAGCAAAGGTTGTTTTAATAGAAAAAGTATCAACTATTTATTTTATACTTTTTCCTTTGCTAGAAAGATTACTATTCAATGAAAGCAGTCTGTCAGTCACAATTAACACTTCCCCGTATGGTGAAGGCAAATATCGTGAGGAAACTAAGTGTCAAGGCAGAACTCACATTACAAACATTCACTAAAATTTAAAAACAAACAATTCTTAAACGATATCCTCTCAACCTATCCTATGATACAAAAAATATTCCTATTGTGCAAAAATAGTTTAATTATGTACAAATTACTGTCTAGTACTGTTAACATGATAAAAGGAAGAGACTAACTGCCAACGACACTGGGGGCTAGTGCACTTTATTTTTCCTAAATATCCTTTTTATTGAGTATAAAAAAGTTTGTTCTTTCAAGAGGCTACTGAAGGAAACTTCAGTAGCCTCTCTGTTCTGATTCTATGTAATGTATGATATATTCATAACACAAAAGATATAAATGCATGGCTGAATTATATTTATTGTTTTAAAGGTCTGAGAACATCTTGTGTTGCAACCCGTGGCAAGCTAGTCTGCCTACAAAGTATTATTTACGCCGCACACTATCTCCGAAGCTTGCAATATAAATTTAAATGAACATGATTCTCTCTTACTTTCAACGTTTATACCAACCCCTTTGTTTAAATACTTGACTGTTATTACAAAAAAATCCTCATAATTGCACGTTTGATTAAAACAAAATTAGCTGCAGTGGTGTCTGGCAGAATGACCAGCGCTGTGGAACAGTCTGCTCCTCAGCATAATGCTGGGCCAGGGCCAATCACAGCCAAAGCACACACGCATGACACACTTGAAACGAACCGAATGAGAAAAGGGAATTTAAAAACAAAAAATTAAAAGTCCGTATTGTTTTTGATATCTCTCATTTTATTTTTTTCTTTGATTATTGTTATTTTGTGTGTTTATGTGTGAGTGTTTTTGTTTGTAATAAATGTTATGTCTATATCTATGTCTAAACACACTTGCACAGCTACGCGATTTTGCCAATTGTTATTCTAGATCGAGACAAAGTCTTAGTCATTTTAGAATTGTTTTTATTGTAGCAACAGGTTGGATAGAGTGAATTCGTTAAGTTAAAGTGTTAAGTGTGAGTTATTTTTATGTAGAAATATCCTATCAAAGTTATATTTTAAACAGAGTTTTAATGTATTGAAATTATTGGACGCCTGACAAAAAGCTATTGTTTGTGGTAATAGATCTCCGATTTACCATCTGCTAAGTCACAGATATAAATTTTGGTGTGTTTCGGTTATTATGTTATTAAAATATTCAATTTTATGGTATTATGTAAAAATACGATAATAATAGTTTTGGTGTCATTTACACTATGCCAATAAAATAATTTCTTATGTATACCTTAGTCTTAAGTGCTAAATAGTGGCAAGTAAAAAAATTGAACACAAGAACAGAGTGTCTTCCTATACATAGAGATTGTAAGTATTATTATCGGACACTTTCTTTTGTTTTATATGTGTATTAGTCTTAATTTAGGCTTAATCGTAAAGTTCCATGTCTCAGTGAAGACACATGTTCAAATTAAAATGTGTATCCGATTTTTTGTAGCCGTTATGTCATATATTTATAATTGACTGTGTTCTTTCAAAGGGCTATTTAAAGCTACATAGAAATTGAAATTGTCTCCCCCTTTCTCTTGTATGAGTCCTCTTGATGTGCCAATAAGCGACTTCGTAGACGGCGCGTTGCATTTTTAAAGGACACCTATGTGTAGAGGTCCTACATACCGTTCCTTTATAAAGACGTAATCATGTTATTATCATACTGTGGAGTTTATATCTATAAAAACTATATTGAAATATATTTTTTTCCAACACACAAATATACAATATTCTTAACCCACATAATAATAAAAAATTGATAAATAAAAAATTAAAACAATTTAAAAAGTTTGGTCCCTGTGGCACCATTAATGCTGGCAGCATTTCGATATTGCGATACTTATTCGAGCGAGGAAAGCGAGCATTTTATTCAAATTATAATAACCTTAAACATCAATGTGGCTCAGAAAAATTGGATTTAATAATGTATTTTTTGTTGTTGATTAAATTACATTTATTTGTGTAGAAGTCACGCAAATTAAAGACAATATAAACAAGTGAAGAGTATTTTTTTACTACTGATTAATATAAATAATTTAAGTAACATGGACAAGGAAGGGTTATGTTCAGTACTTGGGGCACTCCAGATGCTGTTAAAACCTCCACCCGAAGGTGGTGGTAATAATGAGTAGTCATCACACCTATATATTTAAAACGCTGTACTAAAATGTAGCCGTAAAAACATTTGCAGTCGTAAAAAGTAAATTAATGTCGTCGCAAATTAATGAAGATCTCGCGAAGAATTCAATTTACGTGATTGCGTCCATTTTGAAGGTTTACTAAATTACTGTTTATTGTATACCGAACTGCGCCTTCATTCATCAGGAACATTTTCAGAATTCAAAACATTTACCCAGTTTCATCATCGGAGGAGAATACAAAATTCCAACCGTATCACCTCGACGTCCGTCGTTCCACAAGTTTTTTTAAGGCAGTTTTTTGCCCCGCACCACCACTATGTGAAACCAACTGACCAGCAAAGTATTTCCTAACCAATTCAACTTAGGGTCCTTTAAGAAAAGAGCGTACCAATTCTTTAAAGGCCGGCTACGCACTCGTGAGCCCTCTGGAATTGAGAGTGTCCATGGGCGGCGTTATCACTTAACATCAGGTGAGCCTTCTGCCCCTGTCTTCTGGAAGTGGATAACTAGAGATAAGTAGCCATGTAATAAGTGCGTTCATAGCTCAGACGGAATTGTCGCACGGTCAAGAAATTGGTGTCTCCAGTTATGTACCCTAACGTTAATAATAAACAGTCAGTTTTAGTATTAATAAATGAGCCCTTTTGTTTTTCATACATTCATAAATTGTAATATAACATTCTCGTTTCCGTGACTGTACAATTTTTTTATGAGGTGAAAATGCGCTT